GTAAATTTAAGCATAATTCTTACTTCTTGCTTTCTATCTATTGTTCTTATTTGATCAAGTGTTTGAATACTTGGAGATAATCCACCATGTACACAGAAGATTTTTCCATCAATGATAGCAGAAAGAGATAAATAATCAAATATTTCGGTACAATATCGCCAAACTGTAATGCTACCATATTTGCGTAAACATTCATCATAGAAACCATAAACTTGTGTAATTTGTCGAGACTCATGATTTCCTCTTATTAATGTAATCCTATCAGGATAACGGACCTATAAGTATGTTCACATAGCATTTTTCAAACTGATATTCAATAATTTTATTAATCATTACATTAATTTTTCATACTTTTAGAATACTATGCCATTATACAAGTTTTAAATAATTACCTTTAATGCCAAAAGAAGAAGGAATGTTTCAACACTATAAAACCCTCTGTCAACAAAGTCTCCCATAAACAGATAATTTGTTTCTGGTACATCACCACCAACTTTAAATAGTTCCTTTAAATCATAAAATTGCCCATGAATATCTCCACATACCTGGAAATAAGTTACATTTTTTTTATAAATTATAATCATAATAATATTTTGCGTTTATTTTTATAAAAACATACAGTAACTGGAGAATCAACTCTTTGCACATTACTTTCTTCAATCAGAATTTCACGTGCTTTGGCACAAAGAGCTTTGACTTCTGCTTCTTTGATGATTTCGCATTTTTTCAGTTGTTCTATTTGCCGATCCAAGTCACTGGAATCAGCCATTTTACGAAATAATCTTCACTGAAAACGACATCAAAAATCTTTTTTAATCTCTTTAAAGTGAAAATTAAAGTTAAAATAACTTTATTTGTTATGGTAATCATTTGGACAACACAATGGACTTACAATTATATGCTATAAATATAGAACAAATTTATACAAAAGTATTAAATTATTTATTATTACACAATTTATAATTTAATATACATAATTAACATGTTTACATAATTTAAACTATTTAATTTCTATCTTAAATTTTATTTGTATAAATTAAATGAATTTTTAAGCAATATAATATACAATGTGTTACAAAATATGTAATAAACTTGATAAGTAAATTGTTAAAATATAATTTATGAATTTGTAAACATAAAATCAACAGCGAATATAATATGATCATGAAGAAACTTTTTATTTTAATAGTCATAAAAAACAAGTCTCTGTAATACATGATAATATGAAAAAAGTTAATGCTTTAAAAGATCAATGCTTTAGAATAATAACAATTCAATACTAAATATAGACATAATTAAATTAATTAATCCATAACTAAATATAATACACGTCAAACTCTCTAAAGATATATGTCTCTTTTACAAAAATTTAAAAATCTAATTTAATTATTTTTCAAATTTGCATAACATTTATACCTTTACAAATATAAATTTCCGAACAATTGCAATTTTGCCGAAATACAATTATCGAACATTATTTTTAGGATATAATAAATAATAAATTAATAAAAAATATATATGTATATATATATGATAAACATAATATGCAAATAAATAATGTAGATAAAAGAAACGATAAACGTACCTGATCGTATAAAAGAAGCAAGTATTACTTCACTCAATAAATAAAACGCATTTAAACAATGCACATGCAATTAAAACTCTTTACTGTTATTTCATGAGTGTTAAAACATTAATAAGCGATTACAAATAGTCCAAAAGTTCATTTCAACAATTATCAAACATTACGATGTAACTGACATTAGAATCGGGGATGCCGAGGATAAAAATTCGAGTGTGTTGGCATAGATTAAAGTAAACTAAGGAAAGAAATTTGAACAAATTTGTTGTTTCTATTCTAGACTTTATTCTATAGTGACACAGTTTGTTTAGTCGAATATACCGTGTATTGAGAATTCTCCTTTAATTTGTATCTAGTAATTTAAGCAACTTAAGAAAGATGTATTTAAATTGAAATTTCCCTAGCTTTAAACGAAAATGGAAAATACGGCGAAAATTTAGATTTTTTTCCTAAAGAAAAGAAGACATTATGTGAAGATTACTTCTGTTCTCTTGAATGTACAAGCGTAATTATTGAATAACTTGTAAACTAGTATGATGAATAATTTCTCAGTAACATTAGTATTAAGTATTAAGCGAATGTTACTTTGAAAAAAAAAAACGAGCTCAAAAACCAAATACACAAGAAAAGTTTTTTAAAAAATAGTTCTATTGAATTTATTAAATTTTTGAAATTAAAACTTTTTATTATCCATTATATTAAATTATTTTTATCAGATTTTAGAATTTAATTATTTGTCTGTGCATAATTAGTTATTTCTTTGTATAAATTATTATTCAGCAATACAGATGAACATTTATTCATCTAAATAAATACTGTCAAGAACAATAATTTGGAAGTCTGTTAACTCTTAATTCAAATATATAGTAAATAATTATAAATATAATCATTGTACATTGATGTTTTTTTTCTTTTTGGATTTTTAATAAAGTATATAATTTTACGTTTACAAGTGAATTAAATAATTATTAAATTTTCATAAAATTTTATAAAGGCCGTAATAATGTTTTATCAATAAAGTAATACTTTGGAAAAGTATTTGAAAAAGTAGTTGATATCAGTACATGTTATAAAGTCTCAACTATACTATTAAGTGAAATTTATTATAATCTATTATAAGTTTGTACTTAAGGAAATTAAGTGAAAATAATATTGATTGATATAAAAATGTAGAAGTATGAAATCGCTTCTTTATTTATAAAATTAAGAAGAGGCAAAGCAATTTTTATTCTTTTTACAGTAATAACATAATTTTCAATGATTTATAATTGCAAAATTGTATAATTTACCTTTCTCTTTATTTTATATTTAAAAAAATTATAAGACGACACGCAAGATATAAAATAAAAGTAATTATAACTTTTGACTTAACTAATATTCAAAAACTTGACTGAAAACTAAATTTTTCAATGTTATAAACATCATTATAAACATACATTCAATAATAGGTATAATTTTGTATATTTAATTCTAGCATTATATTTATTTCATAAATGACCCTGTAATCATTTAATACTGTCCTTTTTTTAATCTAATCTTAATATCACAAATATATTAATAAACGATCACAATATACGAAAAAAATAATTTCACGATAAAAATAATTTCTCAGATAAGGTAGCCGAAAATACGATTCTACGAACATTTTAGTTTGTAAATTAATCACGCGTGGCGCTACATCTGCAGCCTTTACTACCGCAAGCACTGTCTCTTACTATCTTTTTATCTCTCTCTCTTCCTCTCACGCAACAATATCCTACGGTTTTACTCTTCCTCTCGACTTCTCGAAGATTTCCGTGTATGCGTTCAACTTTTTGACGGTTTGCTCTCGAAAGTATTTCCTTTCCTCGTGCAAATGTGATCACGATATCGAAAAAGAATTCAAGTATTATTGCACACAGTTACGTTCGTTAGCGAACTGCTTGGAAAATATAAAAAAAAAACTTGCGCTCTTTTTTCCTCTCCTCTCTCTCTCTCTTTCTCTCTCTCTCTTTCTCCGTCTGTTTTCCATTCGCCTGAAATTCTCTGTCTCTTTCGGTACACGAGCGCGAAAACATCGGCAACGCGAAGCAGTTCCAACATCGATGTATCGATACCGAGGACTCGGGGGCGAGGTTTTGAGACAATAGTTTCTGAGTGAGGTTACATGGACTCATTGAAATGTTGTGGCCCCTCGAACGACGGACCTACGATTAGCTCAGGTGAGTGTAACAGGAATTTAAAACTTCATTGAGCTCTTTTTTTTTAGAACGGAAAAAAAAAAAGAAAAAAATAGATAGTTTTCGTTGGCTTGAAAGAGAACACGTTCGTTTGATTGTCGCTGGCCCGATTATTTTCGACGATGACGTGCTGCTTATGCACATATACACTCGACACCTTATATTCTTACTCTACCCGTGCCGCATTCCTTCGATGCAACTTTTGCGTTAAATAGGATATCAGACAGTTGTACTCACTGTCATTGAGAAGATTAACTGAGAAAAATAAGAATTGACATTGACAATATTTTGCATTTGAGTACAATAATCTGAAAAATTACACTAATAAATACGTCTGCAACACATTATTTGAAATAACTTTCATTCTAGTTGACGGTTAAGATTTTTATTTTGCTAGTGAAGCGGCGTGTTAATTTATCGTTAAAAAATTTCAGAGCAAACGAAAAAATATATATACGTAGCCAGATTGTTCTAGTTACTTTCAATTTTACAAACGATTCTTTGATAAAATATTAATTTTATAATTTATTAGTATGATATATTTTATCTTTAAAAGAGATAATCGTTTAAATTACGTTTCGTTCGATACTTTAATCACATCGTAATTGTAATATTAATTAACTGTCGAACAAAATTTTTACATAAGTATTTTCTACCAAATTTTTTGTTTACATTCTATGCCAATATATATATGACACATTGCAAATCAGAACTCAGCATTCCTTGGAATGCTTATTATATTTTAGAATTTATTTTTTTGTGAAAAAAGGTAAATTATAATTTTAAATTTGTTATTAATATATATTGATATATATAATATATTTATTTATTAATATACATTATATTTTATATTAAATTACGTATTAATTATATATTATCAATGAGTGTAATAAATTAGTTTTCTTTTTTATTTCATATTTGAGATTATAGGATAGTATAATATTTAACATTATTCTTAATTTACTTCTTCTTTTTAAAAATAAAATTTTTCTTCTCTAAAATATATTCATTGGTTAATCAAAAATACTTAAGTAAATACTTTGGTCAAAATTAGCCAGAAATTATTTATTATTGCTCAATTATTAATTATTTATTAATTATTAATTAATAATTATTAGTCAAATTACTTAACTGTTATTTTACTATTAATCGAAAATTTAGAGAAAATATTTCGGTCCAACATACTTAAAGATATAAATAATAGTACAAATAGCAATTTTGATGTTCTGTCAAGAAAAACAAATTTATGTAAATAATCGATCTTGTCGATTTTCCTTCTCAAAAATTTTAAAGATTTTGTGTTTCTGAAAGTTACGAAACACATCATAAATATCGATTTTATAATTTCATAATTTTTTATTCTACATTGGAATTTGATAAATATTTGAAAAATTTAGTGACTCGTGATTTCTTATCAATACCCAATTCGTTGATTTTTATAGTTTTCAAGCTATCGTCAATAACCCATTGATTAGACCTCGTTAATTGGTAACAAAATTAACAAACGATTAATCCCTTTCCGTTTTTACAACGGAAACATTCAGTTAATCTATGAGATACTGCGGTTTACTTTTGGAGGAAAGGAACACCTACGTTTAATTCATTCTTGAGAATCATATTGACCATCGTAGAATTTCCTACTTTACAGTAGTAAGTCCCACTACTATGTATGTGTTGTAACGAAATTTTCAGACCTCTCCTTGAATGCTCGTTGTTCAAGGGCACGAATGTAGTTTTTAGTTTTCTAAAAGATACATATTTTTTTCTTTAAAAAAACTTTGTCAAATTCAACACAATCACGCATGCATAATAAAACAAAAGTACGTGTAAAAAGTTGACGAATAATAAAAGTTAACGAATTTCATTGAATGTTTGCTTATAATTGAGCTGTTTACTTAAAAAATGGTATAAATACATAGTACACAATAATGAAGAATGGCCATTTCTTAACGTCTATGTTAGAATTATTTCTGAGAAAATTGTAAGCATCCGAGATAACAGGTACAAGTAAATCCTCTCGAAAGTTAGCGTCAATCTTTCTAGGCACGTTGGAATACAAACCTAAACCTAACCTAAACCTTTAAGTATCTCGATTTAAAAACAATGCGACTTGTGTCACTTTCAAAGTAAACAACTCAATTTTACTCGATATATGTATGTACATATTCGAAATACAATCGTAAACGCACATGTTCTATTTTTATGCAACATATTTCCTCCATTTGTTTAATAAAATATTCTTTCATACCAAATTTCAGTGAAATAATTAATTAATTAATAGAAATCATTATACGTAATTCTAAATAATTATTTTCTTTTATAGTTTTCCATTGGTCTTCTAAATACATTGTAACTTAAAAAGATTCCAAAAGAAAATTGAGCCACAGGTTCAACAGAATAGATTTTTCTTCGTAAAGAGCAGGTAGACTGTGTTTCCTGGAAACTGAAAGTGGTCTCCTGAAGTATATATTTACCGAACCCTCGAATTAACTTATGTTAGACCGAATAGTTTGCCCATTTTTCTAGCATTCTTTTAGCAGGTTAAAAATTTTGTTCCGTTGTCTTATACCTGTTTGTGTTTCAGAAGGTGTATTTTTCTCGGAGCATTGCGTGCAATTTTGCTGTAAAATTTTGTATCATTCTGTTTTGCATCGTTATATATACAAATTTTTCTGAAACATACATTCATTATCTAGTATAAATGATTAGTTTCGCATTAACGAATATTAATTAATTTAAACCACTCTTGAAACATTATTGTGTTATTATTTCAAAACGTAAGTAATGATATTTTTATTTTTTTAAAAAGAAAATAGATAATGTTCATACCTTCACTTTTTTTTTTTAAACTTTCTTTATTACTTATTTGATAACATTGAATTTCATGAATAATAATTCATATATTTTCATAGATTTTTTTCTCTTTGTAGTGCATAAAAAGTTGTGTAATTTGATATTTGATTAAATAGAATTATCAGTAATCAGTTGTTAAAGCAGTATTTCATTGCAATAATTACAATAAGAATATATTTATTATAATAAAAATATTTGTATAATTTAATTATTTAATTATTTATTAGAATATATATGTATATTCGTGCCATGTCCACAATAATATTTTATAAATATACACATAAGATTCGATTCTTTAAAATATATTTACATATAATAACAAATTATTGGCAAGAATTATTATACTATATAAATATGTATCCTTTTTATTTATGTATGTAAGTTTGAAACCCGATTTGGGAATTTGGAATCTAAATATTTGTCTTTTAATAACAAAATATATTTGAATATGAATCTATTACATTTAAGCGCTTCATACTTACACAATGATAATCAAAAACAGATAATTTATAGATCGTTAATCTTATTTCTAACATTATTCTAACTTTTTTAAAATGACAGGAAGTGAGCGATCAATTTCTATATCAAACAAAAATAAATTTAGAAATCATGTGAATAAACTTAGAATTCATTATCTGATTACTCTTAAGTTTATTAAAATGAAAACTTTTTTATTTGTTGGATTATAAAGTTTTGTGCCTCAATTAAATATGATACATGATAAAATCATGTCACATAATCATTATCATACATAATATATATAATATATTAATAAGAAACATATATTATATATAATATATTATTGTGTAATACTATAAATATTATACAAGCAATAGATATTATAATATGCATTGTAATATTAATATACAACATATTGCCAATATGTTAATAAATTGTTCATTAGATATTTTTTTTATTGCTTTTACGTATTATATTTGAATAATAAATTCAATAATAATAAAAATATGAAAATAGAAAAAGTAAATAATTTAAATAATTTAATTGTTTTTTGTGGAACGATTTTAAATCAGATAAATCGAGCAAACGTGTTGAAAATCCGCGGTCGGATTAATCCCATAATCATACAGTAGCAGACAGCTTGGCATCTAAACCTTACTATTTCTATCTTTGTCTTTGATAGAATGCAGGCCTGCCTCAGTGGTTCTCAAATCTACGTCTAATCGCGAAAAATATACAAACATTCTCATTGATTCGTTAGAAGAGTGACATACAATAAAAATTATTAATTTCGAGAGATTCTACAAATGAATTATTTACTTTTATAGTAGCGTTATGATGCTTCAACAAAATTATATGTACATACATATATATGTATATTTATACAATATAATAATTTAAAATAGTCCAAAGACTAGTTAAATTATAAAAATTTTGTCGTTGCTAAATGATTGAATAAATTGATAATTCTTTATTTCAAACTTTCTACCGATTTAAAAAAAAAATGCTTAGTTACTTTTGTAACAACTCGATGTGTAATTCATGTTAAAATTACTTATAGCTAAATAATTTTTTATGAACTCATACAATCTTTTAAATTTACATTTAAACACTTTTTAATTATTTATTATTTTATAGAAAATTAACATTAATTGTTATAATTCATCATTTAATATTTATTTTTATAAATAATAAATAATATATATAATTATCATAGATTGATATATAAATATAAAATATATAAATATAATTATCATAAATTAATATATAAATATAAAAGATATTAAATTAATAAATAAGTTATGAAAATTTTTGTACGCAATTTGTTTTCTTTTATAGCAAAAGTATACAATATAGTTTTTGACATTAGTTACTTAATTTTTTATATTACCATATGAACTTGAACTGAAGCAATACGCATTAAAATCTCTTTAAAGTAAGGTCTGTAAGACTCATTCCAGAATTCCATTATAGTATGAAATATCTCTGTTTTTAGGGAGGCGACATCCATGAGCAAAGATATCACAATGTGCATGTTGCTGCCACTGAGATTAGTTTTAGTCACAGCAAGTTTGCTGCTGGCAAATACGGAAAATATCCATTTCCATCTACATCCTGAAGAACATTTTGCTATCGGCGAACGTGAACAAGCAATTGCTGGAATTGAAGCCAGCCTCTTGTCTTCTTTTGGCTTCACTAAAAGGCCAAAATCGCAAGGTCCAGCTTATGTTCCAGAATCATTGCGAAAACTTTTTGTTAAACAAAATGCAATTGGCATGGCTGATATTGCTAAACCAGGAATTCATGCTAGATCTGCTAATACAGTACGTTCTTTTTCTCATGTCGGTAAGTATATTCATGGAAACTATTTAAAATAACGTTATATTCTTTTTAATTTTTTTTTTTTTTTTTTATACAGAGAGTGAATTGGATCACAAGTTTCAATCTCCAAATCGCTTTCGTCTTTCTTTTAACTTAAGTAGCATACCCTCAGAAGAAAAGTTACAAGCTGCAGAATTAAGTCTTTCTCGTGTACCTATTTTAAATGAAGATGACTCCGACCCGAAGTTGGGTAGAATACTTGTATATGATATTTTACGTCCGGGTGCAAAAGGACATAGTGCACCACTATTACGTTTAATTGATAGTAAGCTAATATGGATTACTGGGAAAAATGGCACAGTTAGTCTAGATGTTCATCCTGCTGTGGAAAGATGGGTAAACGATTCTAAAAATAATCACGGACTTTTAGTAGATGTACATGGAACTAAAGAAGAGCACGTACGTTTAAAACGAAACACAAATGAAACAGATGATACATGGATTGCTAATCGCCCAATATTGTTTACTTATACAGATGATGGCAGGTACGAAGTAATTTTTTGTATAAAACGTATTTACAAATTTATTGTAATCTTTTTCAATTACACATTCAACTCTTCGCGAGCAAAAACCCCATATATGGGCTACCTATACTTACTTTGGAGCATGCGAAGGATTAAAATATAGATATATTATATAGATAGATATATAGATAGACATTATAAAATTACACATTCAAAATAACATTTCGAATTTAATACTTTAGATATTAACATTTTTTGTAATACTCATATTTGAAGTTTATAAAAAAGATACTATACTATATCAAATATATATCACTTAATATATCAAATAGAGTTTATTAATAATTATTAATATATATAATAGAGTTTTATATATATATATAATAGAGTTTATTAATAATTATTAATATATAATTAATATATATTAAGATGAAATCAATAATTTTTTCTTTACATATTATTATTATTTAGATATAAGATGTCTTCCGCAAGTCAAATAATGGATCGCCGTGCCAGAAGAGCAGCATTTCGGAAAAATCGTCGAAAAGATGGACGTGAAAATTGCAGGCGACATCCACTTTATGTTGACTTTGCTGATGTCGGATGGAATGATTGGATTGTTGCTCCCCCTGGTTATGATGCCTTTTACTGTCACGGTGATTGCCCATTCCCATTAGCAGATCATTTAAATTCTACCAATCATGCAATTGTCCAAAATTTGGTTTATTCAACAAAACCAAGTATGGTGCCTAAAGCTTGTTGTGTACCTACCGCTCTTAGTTCTATATCCATGCTTTATCTTGACGAAGAAAATAAAGTAGTACTGAAAAATTACCAGGACATGTCGGTCCTTGGATGTGGATGCCGTTAATTATTTGCTAATTGATTCAATAAACTACTTTTCACTTTTCTGGTGAAGCATATATGTGCAATAAAAGTGAAAAAAGTGAAAAAAACTTTACAAAGTGAGGGAACAAAATATTAAAATTTCGTTAGATTAAACGAATAGTAAATATTACTATTTTTGGAGGGTACATTGATTTGTTTATTAGATCTTTATAGAATTAAGGCACTTGAAAGGTTTTAAATTGTATATAAAAATTTTAAATAATTATCTAATTGTCATAACTTTAAATATAATCCTAGCTGCCTCCTGTTTATAAAATAAAAAAAATTTAAGGAATTTATATAATGTAAAATTTTTGATCTATCGATTATCACAATTTATTGTGATAGAAAATTTAGATACAAAGAATGAAAAAGATCCGCTATAAATACTTCAAGTCCTCTAAAATTTCATCTGTACAAGAAGTATCAACTAACTCTTATCGAACATAATGATTATTTTTATTAAATATATAATCAGTCATGATTATTTTTATTAAATATATAATCAGTCAATATGACTGAAAGAAAAATTTTATAAAGTATTAGACACTTAATATCCTGACATTTATTTGTACTTGTGCCTTAGACTAAAGTATTTTACGATTAAGAAAGAAAAAAAATATTTTTAGAGGAGGGTTTATCGAGAGTTTAAATGCGCGCGCCAAAATTTTAAGTACCCCCATCTCCTCTTGTTAAGACAGTTTTTAAAACAACAGTTTGTTGCTATTAATTTTTTAAATCGATTGTTAATTGTTCAAAATGAGAAAATTTTATTTGGACAAGCATGCAATCAATATTTCTTGACGGTAGGACATATTTATTTATCAATTTAAAAAAAGAAAACTTTCTTTTATAATTCTTCTCACATTCCATTTTTATATAACAATTATTTTTACACGGTCTTAAAATTTTTTTACATTAGTATTAGGTTTGAACTAGATTTAATTACAATTACTTTTTTAAGTATTTAAACAAAAATATTTCAAGTATTAATCAGACACTTTCATTTTTAATTAAATATGAATATTGAACAATACTATTACGAGAATATATATATATTTATTTTACACTATATTTTTTGAAATATTTAATTTTTGTATAGTAAGATATCACTTTTTGTGTATAAAATATGCGTATAAGATCTTTGTACCTTATTGAAATTAATAATTAATTAAAACAACTGTAAAGCTATTATTAAATTTTCTATAGTTTAATAAATATTGAATATATTAAAAACATAATAAAAAAACTTAAAAATACAAAATATTTCACTGTAATTAAATATTATCTGTACAGTTTGGAAAGTATAATAATAATTTACTATTTTAAATGAGATATAAAACATTTTAAACCTGTTTTCTTCCTTATCTATTTCAACTATAATAGTAATTTCAATGTTAATTTCTTATTATCAGAATTTGGTTTTTTATATTTAATTTGTTAATTTATTATAATATTGAAGATATAAATGTCCTTAAACAGATTCTTCCTGCCGTCAAGAATAAATCGTACCTGCCTGAGGAATAATCATTTATGTTAGCAGACAAATCTCTTTCTAAATATATGTACTATATTTGTATAAAAACAAAAGACAAGAATATTTTATAGCTATGGCGCGCGTCGGTCTGTAAAATCTGTAAAATAGATAGAAAAAGAAAGAACTAATGTAAATATTGCGTTTGTATAGTAAACTTATATATATAGTATTCTATTCGATGTTTTTATTAATATTTTTACGTTTTTCAATTGTATACAGATATTGCATATGTAAATAGTAAATTTTAATAAAAATATGTTTAAATTACACTCACGTTTTTGTACTTAAATAGAAGAAAATAAATAATAGATATAAAAAAATAGCAGGAAATCAATTGAAAATAAAGTTTACAATAAATATATCTTTCAATTGTCATTGATATGTATAATTTTAATTTACTTTGAATGTATAATTTTAATTTTATGCATAAAATGATAAATATCATGTAAAATATGTAACAAAAGTTTTATTCTTTTATACATTTATGCTACATACATAGAATATTACACACTTTGTTGTAAATGTAAAAAAAATATAGAAGAATTATTTCAGTCTTTAATGCCAAACAAAAATAATAATTCAATAGAATGTATTTCTTTAAGGCTTGTGTAATGGCAGTGCGAGGTAAAAATCATTTCCACATGACGCATTATACATTTTATATATACAGTAATTTTGAATTTTTTCACTAAACGTTCTAAATGTTGTATGGCACAGTCCAATTATAAATTGCAGGAACAGCATTACTTTATGTAATTATTTGAAAATTTGAACTTACTAACTTTCATATTTCGATTAACTATTACATAAGAATGTAAGTATATAAATACACAATTAGTTCACTTTCACGGTAAAAATGAAAAATTGTTTTTTTTCTACGAGTAAGCATTTTAAATGTTCTTACATTATTTAATTTTTATAGTTCGTTGTTTATTTTGATTTTATTCTCATCAGAAATAAGTTTCAATTTCTCTATTTACTTTTAATTTATAATATGAAGTTTGATATGTTTTGGCTGTAAATATGAAACTTACGCAATTCTTATACGCTATACAGTAGAACCTCGATTATCTGAAGTAACGTAGATCAAGACTACGTCGGATAATCCGGAGAGATTTAGTATATGTGTAAATTATGCAACAAAAAAATCATGGGAAACAAATTTTTTTGATACATACTTCTTTGAAATTCTTTCTTTGAGTCATGTTTCTCTGAAATTCGCGGCTTTTTTCGCGATAAGGAGCAAAATGGCAGTATATCTTAAGAAATTAAAACAGCCGCGACGCTATATCGTGATCGGCTGATCGTGATATGTATTTTATCATAAACGTTAAAGCATTTAGAATTAATATCAGAACCTTGGCGGTTAAACTGAGGTTCTACTGTACTTTACAATACGTACTTTTACAATAGAATAATACTATTATATAATTATAAAACTACTAATTTGTATTAATATAAAAAAGATTCTTTTTATAGAATAACTTCTATCTTAAAAACTAAAAATCATATACAACTTTTTACATTGTTACAATATTTACAACATTTTATGATTAAATCTCTTACAAGTACATTATAAAGAGGCACAATGGTATAAATTTTTTACAAAGATAAAAATCTTATTCAAATACTTCAAACAGATTTGATATAAAATTTGAATTTTTTTTTAATAAAAAATTTTTCTCTCAAAATCTTTAAAAAGAAGACATTAAATAACATTTATGAATTTGCTTATGAAACGATAAGATACTTCTCTTATATTATTTACTTGTTAACATAAATAAAAATTATAATATTTACTTTTGTTGAATATTTTAAAAGTAATGCTTTCGCTCCTCCACTTACAAAATATAAATTTTAATAAAATAAATGTTACCTTTTCAATCATTTTTTACAGACTTACCAAAAGATTTCATCTTTCAAAAATTAGAATATAAACAAGTTTTAATATATTTAGGGAACGGGAGAAGGAGGTGGTGGAAGTGGACTGAAATATGTAGACGATCGTGAACTAGGAGAAGGAGGGCAACTAATTCCAGCATCACTTTGGTAAACAGACCTTGGTGTAGGAGGTGGAGGATAAGGCTCACTTTCATATCGATATCTTGCTGGATAATTGCTGTCTGATTCATCGCAAACATCTGTACTACAAGGAGTTGGAGGTGGTGGTTGATTTATGCTCCTATAATGTCTATAAGGTTTATATCTAGACGCGTTACTGCTTGAACATCTGGTAGAATTAGCTGTTGTTGCAGGACTTGGAGGAGGGTTTAATGTCTCTTGCGGGTAACCTCCTGTAGAACTCCCTCGAGTTGAACTAGAAGCTCCTTAAAATAGAATTTTTATTATTATTGATATAATATATATATATATATATATTAATTTAGATTAATTATTAGAATATATTAATCAGAAAATATGAAGATATTTCAATCATTATACATATATCATTGTATCATTATAATAAATTATTTATAAAATATTGATTTACTAAAAATTATTTGCTTACTCGAACAGTATAATTTACTATTATTTATATATACAAAATAACATCTTACCAGTGATGTGGCTGCGATCATAACTTGATCCTATACTACTTCCATTTAACATTGACATTCTTACAGTTTCCATTCCGATTTTCAAATCTTTTCTACAATTTTTTTGTGCAAACATTGGTTTCGCTAATCTTACTGGTTTGGGTGATAGTGGATCTCCAGCTGAATCATGTAAAATATCAGGCAACTCTTCATTATTTATGTTTCTTCTACAATAATAAAATCCAAAAATAGTTGCAATAAATGCTGCAAACAATGCAATAGGTATGATAATAACATAATTCGTTTTTCCAGATTCTGACGAATTATTTTCTTGTCGAGGATTGTTTGCAGGTGTGCATGCAGATGGAAGTTCATCACTTCCATCAGCACAGTCCTCCCAACCATCACAAAGAGCTGAACCAGAAATACAAACACCATTTCCAATACATTGAAATTGTCCTGGACGACAACAATGAGCTTCATCTAGACCATCATGGCACTGTGCTGTTCCATCACATACCCAGGACATATCTGAAAAAAATTTAATAATTCACAATTCAAAAAATTTTACAACAATATATTTAATTTACAATCAAAATGATTTAATAACTCAAGAATTTTACCAATGCAATGGCCACTTTGACATTTGAATTGATCGCGACTGCATGCTGGACAACCTAACTCATCACTTCCATCAGGACAGTCTGTTTGACCATCGCATTTCCAAGTTGCAGGTATACAGTCTTTTGTTACTGCAGAACTAGGTGCAGCACAGGTAAAATGATCTGTTCCACAAGCTGGTGCGGCTCTACAAGTTTTTTCATCTTCGGATAGAACCAAAGATTTTGGGCAAGAACATCTAAAAATAATACTTTTTATATATTTCTTTTTAAATTAAAATTATCTGCAGAATGATTCTTTGGCTAGAGACTGTTTTGATGCTATATGATTCATTTGAATCATTTTATAGTTTTGTTCTCAATTTTTACAACGGACAATCATTACAACGTACAACAACCGGACGGACGATCACTTTTCCCTTCGGGTCTCTAAGAAGAGAATCATCCTGAACATTTCCTAAATAGAAATTAAGAACTCACTTAGAGGAAGTAGTTCCTATACAAAAGTGTGAACATCCTCCATAATCCCGAAAAGGACTACAAATATGTGTTTTCATTACATCATCTTGAGGAGTATTTACGGCAATTAAATCTGTAAGTACTTTATTCATGATTACTTTTCTTCCATTTCCAGATTTATTAATACGCTCTAAATTCGATGTTTCTCTATCAAACCAGTAAATAAAATCAAAGAAGACGGACAAATAAACAGTTGATCCTTGTCCAACAGTAGAGACCAAAATTCCTCCATTGTTCCCATCAAAATCTGCATACTCAATCTTATTTCCATGCGCCCAATATACAATGTTCGAAATTA